CATTTTATTTAATTCTCTTGTATAATAGTTTCAATTTTATTCAACCGATCTGGATTTCTTTCATCTCGGACGATTTTAAGAGATGTGGATGCTGAAATTTCTCTCCACTTCCAGCCACCGATTACCGGCAAACGGCGGTGAGCAGTGAAATGGCCACAAGTGAACGACATCCAGGTACTGTTAGATCTTCTTCTTCTTCTCTTTCTTCTTCTTCTTCTTCTTCTTCTTCTTCTTCTCCTCCTCCTCCTCCTTCTCCTCCTCCTCTCCCTCCTCCCCCTCCTCCTTCTTCCCCCACCATCTCTGCTTTTTATTACTTGCAGAATTGTTATTTTTTTTATTAATCTCGATATATTTATTATTTATTTTGGGGAGTTTTTAATCTTTAAATGTCAATTAAAAAATGAAATAACTCAAAAAAAAAAATCTGGGGTTTTTCTAGTATCATTTTAAGATTGCAATATCACTCCTAGAATACAACAACTTTAATGCCATTTTTTTCGTTGGTATGGCATTAATGTAATGAAGATGACAATACTTCTCATTTGGTAATACATTAATGCCATGTTTTTTAATTAAAAATGTCATCTTATTTCTGGTAGTCATACCAGATTCAAAATCAGATCTGAGATTTATTAAAAATGAAATAACCCAAAAAACATTCTGAAATTTTTTCTAGTATCATTTGAAGATTGCAATATCACTCCTAGTCTCCTAGAATACAACAACTTTAATGCCATGTTTTTCGTTGGTATGACATTAATATAATGAAGATGGCAATACTTCCCATTTGGTAATACATTAATGCCATATTTTTTAATTAAAAATGTCATCTTATTTATGTGAGGATGACAATAGTACCATTAATACAACTGTAAGATGGCAATTGGCTGGTAGTCATACCAGATTCAAAATCAGATCTGAGATTTATTAAAAATGAAATAACTCAAAAAAATTCTGAGATTTTTCTAGTATCATTTGAAGATTGCAATATCACTCCTAGAATACAACAACTTTAATGTCATGTTTTTTCGTTGGTATGACATTAATATAATGAAGATGGCAATACTTCCCATTTGGTAATACATTAATGCCATGTTTTTTAATTAAAAATGTCGATCTTATTTCTGTCAGGATGACAATAGTACCATTAAGATGGCATTACAAGTGTAAGATGGCAATTGGCTGGTAGTAAAACCAGATTCAAAATCAGATCTGAGATCTATGGTGGTGGTGTAGGCGGCGCTGCCAGAGGTCACACTGTTCACGGAGGTGGGACATGGTGGTGTTGGATGAGGCGGCGGTGAAGATGTCGAATATAACGGCGGTAAGACCAGATGACTTCACTGATTGGGCTTCCTGCGGCGCATGTGGTGGTGGAGACGACTATGCCGATGGTGGCAGAGACGGCAACGCCGGTGGCGGCGGCGGCAGCAGCAACGCCGGTGGTGATGGTGGTGGCGCCACCGCCTGCGGTGGCAGTTGAGGCGGCAGATGTTCTGCAACAGGGGACTGTTACGTTGGGCCTCTCATATTCTCCTTTATTATTTGATTTTGTATTATTAATAAAATAACCTAATTTGTTCATTAAGGGTATTTTTGTCAACTCCTCCCTTTTTACTCCTACGGAACATTACACTCCTATTCTTGCAATTACATCAACTTTTAATCCCATTTAGGGAATTATCTCATTGTACAACATACTCCGTATAAAATACGAGAATATTCATATATCCTATTTCCCTAGGCGGAATAAAAGAGTGAAAACTGTGAATATTCATATACCCTACTCCGTATACAATTCTTCTTATCAGTTTTTTATTTATATAAAAAAAACATTTTTTGTATTAATTGTATAATAAAAGCAAAAAAACGAATTTGGTAGAACCGTAGAGTCTAAAAAAGTCTGGCAGATGTGAACTGCAGGGAAAAAAAACGCACGCCCGATGGGACTCGAACCCACAATCGTTTGATTAGAAGTCAAACGCCTTATCCATTAGGCCACGGGCGCCTTTGTTGCCCACTCTTTACTTTATCAATCTTTATCTAATTGTTGAAAGTGCCAAGACAAAATCCCTGTCAAAGCAGCTATGGCGACTAAAGCATTATTTCTTACCATGAGTCCATGACCGTTTATTCTTTGCAAAATACGGAGTAAATGATTAAATGAATAAAGATTTTGTCCCTGTTTTATTTTGGAGACTCATAAGAGTCTCTCGTTTTCTTTTCATTAGTTTCATAATGTTTATGAGTTTTAATTTGGTGCTGTGTATCTATAGGCCTATTATAACATTAAAAATTGCATTCGTTTTCGAGTGTTAAGGAAAAATCATTTGCTCACAAGTCACAACAATTGAAATTCTGGTTTACTTTTATTTAAAGAGAATTGCTTCTATAATTATACGTAGGTTTGTAAAGTTGTAATCACCTAGAACAATAATAATCAGACATAGAACTTTCCAAAAAACAAAAATAACCAGACATAAAATTTCCACCAACCGCTCGGTTCACAAACCATTATACCATCGTATTAATTATGATGAGTCAAGTCATAAGAGAAAGTCGAGGGTGAGTTTGAAAGAATCATTCATAAAAATTTAAATACATTTTTACATTAAAGATGTTTCATTTAGAAAACAAATTTGCTAGAAAAGTTGTGGACCAAGCTCAAGTTAACATATGGCAGTATCAAGTTGTGGACCTAGTACACATATGTATGGACCCGGGTAAGTCCGATCCCAATTCCAACCTTGCCAAATGGCAGTAAAGCACAAGCTCGACCCGCTTATAGGGTTATGGGCCAGTTTTAAGTGTCGGGTTGGACCGGGTCACGATTCTTATCCGCCCCACGTTACTTTTTTTACTGGTCTGAAATAAAAAAAATATGTTTATGCTCGAAACTGGGATCAGGACTGCTTGACTAGTCCCAAAACATGTCACCTGGGATCGTATACCCAAACACACCGGACAGGACTGGTCCTTAGCCCTGGTACGATAAACGGACTTGATCCAGATCCAAACAGTACCAGACCTGGCTCTAGACGAGGCCATATCGCAGACCGAGACCATGCCTAACTACACCGATGGGTCATGGATGAGTGGCCACCGCTCAGAAAAAGTAACACTCATATTGTGTACATCTTTTTGTCTTTGAATTATGCGACAAACAAACAAACGAACAAACAACTATATACAATTATAGAAATGGTTTAAACTCGATATAGCTTGGAAAGTCCAATAAGGTCTATGCAAGTATAGCATCAGACGTGTTCAGGTTGATCGTGTGTGATAATTTACACACCTATTCGAATTTAAGGTTACATTATCAAAATTTGACCATACCAAATCTTAATAAAACACAATGTGAGGTTTGTATATTTCAGATTCCCTTGGGGTGTGTTTGGAAGATGGTTTTTGAGAGGGAGGGAAAACATGTGAGAGTTAGATGACCCTCTTATTTGTATTTGGGAGTTTAAAAAATGTGGAGGAATAGTTGTTGAAGGTTTTCATGGTCCTCAGAAACCTCTCAAATGCTCAATTTTTTAGTTTCTCTAAACTGTGGAATTTTGAAAAATAATTAACTAAATGATAAGTTAAATTATATTTAAAAAGAATATGAGTTCAACTATTTCAATTCACCATATCTCAGAAATGATTTTAATAATAATTACCTGTAAAACTTTTTTTTTCTTCAAATTTACTACTTCCAAATTAATAAGAAGAAGAGTTTTATCACCTTCCCTTTCCCCTCCAACAACTTACCTTCAAAGCTTTTCCATCCCTTTCTCCCCAAACCCTCAAACATACCCTTAAGGTTCTGGCATAAGTGACTATTTGAAACACGGTTACACATAACGGTCCATATATCAAAACACGGTTACACGGCATCTTTTTTTTTATAAAATTTTTCACTTACGTTTTTTATGTCCATATATCAAAAACTTTTTTTATACTCAGCATCTTTTTTTTTATATAAAATTATTGACTTACGTTTTTTATGTCCCTAAAAATTCTTTTCTTATTTTCATTTCTCGAATTTTTTTGTATGAGTTATATTCATTTATCTTTTTCTTACTAAACCACAGTTATACATTTTCATTTTATTCTCACTATCTTAAAATTCGACTCAAGTCATATCATGAATAATTTATGGGACAGAGGGAGGATTATATTTTCTCTTTTATACCTCTTAGGAAATACGGAATATGAATATTCTCATATTTTATGTTATAGAATAATAAAGGTTTATGTGTGCATGTGTTAATGATATTATTTGGAAACTCAACAAATGTATAATAATACAAAAAAGTAAAAAAAAAATTAAAATATAAATGAAACATGAGGCTATTTTCAAAAACATTATTCAAATAATCTGATTTTTAAAAATATGACTTAAAGTTGCTAATCCCTTTGAATTCTTTTATTTACTACACCTTTTTTGGGGGGTGTATTTTAACTTTTGTCACTCTCCTTTTTTCAAAAAGTTTTCCTTTTAAAATACTCATTTAAACTTACTTTTTCTACTTTTTTCGTCTCTTTTATTACATTTTCCCACTATCTCTCCTAGTTTTTTCTATACTATTCATAACTTATATTATTTTTCCACTAAAAATTAAGTTAAACCCTATTGTAACAAATTATAGAATTCCAGAGAATTCCATTAAATATTACATTGTCATGATAACTTAAGTGGAAAAAATAAACCGAGGTCACTAGGATTACAGTTGTGGAAAATTTCAGAGATAAGTGTAAAAAATTGCTTTAAATAGGAGTAAACAAGTTTTGGAATTCTAAAATATGACTACTATCTTTTCTTACAAAAATAAAAGTCGTTACTATCCTTATTGAAAAAATGCAATGATCGAAAAATACTATTATTAAAGATGGTAAATATCTTCATACTCCTAAAATGAAACACGGTTACATATAACAGTGACCTTAACAAGAGATTACTTTGATTCAAAATTTAAATTCAGAGACAGGCGGACAGCACCCTAGTTAGGGCTTAGCTTGGGCAGAGGCGGCGGCGCTGATTCGGCGTGGTCTTGCTCTCTGGTTTGGGTCGCTGGGACTCCTGCGACGAAGGAAGATTAAGACGGAAGATGAGCATCGTTTCGTGGAACTGCCGCGGGCTGGGTAACCTTGCAACGGTTCAGGTATAGCTTTCTTAATGGAAATGAAAATACTGGGGAATCGTTGTGAAGCTATCGGTGATCAGTTGGGGTTTCACATATGTCTTGCCATTGATGGTCAAGGTTTGGGGGGGGGGGGGGGGGGACTCTGTTTAATGTGGCGTGAAAGCATATCAGTGGAAATAATCGGATCGGCAGCCAACTATATTGATTGTTTAGTTCAAACAGATGAAGTTGAATCAAAATGGCGTTCTACGGGGTTCTATGGATACCCGGACCGAACCAGAAGGAGAGAATCCTGGGCACTACTTAGACATCTATCACTGCTTTCGGATAAGCCTTGGCTGCTTATGGGAGACTTCAATGACATTGTCTCCGATTCGGAATGGCGAGGCAGAATACCGCAGCCCCCTTGGTTGTTGCGTGGGTTCCGGGAGGCAATTCAGCACAGTGGGCTACAAAATGTAACCTTTCAAGGTTACCAATTAACGTGGGAACAAGGTCGGGCAATTCAACACAGTGGGCTACAAAATGTAACCTTTGAACGAGCAAGACCACGCCGAATCAGCGCCGCCGCCTCTGCCCAAGCTAAGCCCTAACTAGGGTGCCGTACGCCTGTCTCTGAATTTAAATTTTGAATCAAAGTAATCTCTTGTTAAGGTCACTGTTATGTGTAACCGTGTTTCATTTTAGTAGTATGAAGATATTTACCATCTCTAATAATATCATTTTTTGATCATTGCATTTTTTCAATAATGATAGTAACGACTTTTATTTTTGTAAGAAAAGATAGTAGTCATATTTTAGAATTCCAAAACTTGTTTACTCCTATTTAAAGCAATTTTTTACACTTATCTCTGAAATTTTCCACAACTGTAATCCTAGTGACCTCGGTTTATTTTTCCACTTAAGTTATCATGACAATGTAATATTTAATGGAATTCTCTGGAATTCTATAATTTGTTACAATAGGGTTTAACTTAATTTTTAGTGGAAAAATAATATAAGTTATGAATAGTATAGAAAAACTAGGAGAGATAGTGGGAAAATGTAATAAAAGAGACGAAAAAAGTAGAAAAAGTAAGGTTAAATGAGTATTTTAAAAGGAAAACTTTTTGAAAAAAGGAGAGTGACAAAAGTTAAAATACACCCCCCAAAAAAGTGTAGTAAATAAAAGAATTCAAAGGGATTAGCAACTTTAAGTCATATTTTTATAAATCAGATTATTTCAATAATGTTTTTGAAAATAACCTCATGTTTTATTTATATTTTAATATTTTTTTACTTTTTTGTATTATTATACATTTGTTGAGTTTCCAAATAATATCATTAACACATGCACACATAAACCTTTATTATTCTATAACATAAAATATGAGAATATTCATATTCCGTATTTCCTAAGAGGAATAAAAGAGAAAATATAATACTCCCTCTATCCCATAAATTATTCATGATATGACTTGAGTCGAATTTTAAGAAAGTGAGAATAAAATGAAAATGTATAACTGTGGTTGAGTAAGAAAAAGATAAATGAATATAACTCATACAAAAAAATTCGAGAAATGAAAATAAGAAAAGAATTTTTAGGGACATAAAAAACGTAAGTGAATAATTTTATATAAAAAAAAAGATGCTGAGTATAAAAAAAAGTTTTTGATCTATGGACATCAAAAACGTAAGTGAAAAAGTTTATAAAAAAAAGATGCCGAGTATAAAAAAAAAAGTTTTTGATATATATAATAATGAGATAGATAACGATTGACAAAAAGAAAATAAGCACGCCCGGTGGGACTCGAACCCACAATCGTTTGATTAGAAGTCAAACGCCTTATCCATTAGGCCACGGGCGCCATTGTTGATATGACATTACTTTAATACGTTTTATTAGGGCCAAGAGTAATCCATGTTAAAGCAGCTATACCGCGACTAAAGTATTGTTCTTACAAGGGAAAACTGTCAAATAGGTACTCGAACTTTCATAAAAAAGTCAATTAAGTCCTTCTATAGGAGACTCTGTCCAGCCGTCGCGATTTGGGGCGGTTCCCGGTGGAATTTTTTGATGAATTTTTTTGAGAATTTTATTCATCAAGTCTAGTTTAGTCGAACCAAATTTCAGCTAAACATTTAATTGGGAACGTATTCAAATTAATTCGAGAACGCAAAAATGCGCAGTTATCTTCACGAATTAATTTGAATGTGTTCCCGATTGAATTTTTAGCTGACATTTGGTATGAGTAAACTAGACCTGATGAATAAGATGCTCAAAAAATTTCATCAAAAAATTCCACCGGGGACCGCCCCAAATCGCGACGGCCGGACAGAACCTCCTATAGAAGGACTTAATTGACCTTTTTATGAAAGTTCGAGGACCTATTTGACAGTTTTTCCTTCTTACAATGATCGTTTATTCTTTGCAAAATAAATGATTAAATGAATAAAGATTTAGTACTATAATTAGAATCACTACCGTTGGCAAATTTCATTAGAAGTAACAAGATGCATGGTACATTTATGACTCTCAAGTAGAGATAGGCACGGGTTATAATTGTACTCGCCCTGTTAGATACTTTTTTCCAAAATCATAATCGTTCCAATGGGTTTTGAGTATAACCGTGATCCGCACATAACTGTTTTGACTCATCATATCTATATAATATAATAAAGCAAACCCTTGAGGAACTCTTTAGAGGAATTATTGACATGTGGCAATAGTCTTTGTATGAAAAAGTGACATGTGGCAAGACAATAAATTCAAGAAAAAACTATTCAACTTCCAAAACTCTACTTTTATGTACTCCAATATTATATACATATGTATTTAAATCATTGGTATACTGAAATTTTATAACTATTATATTGTACTACCTCCGTCCCACTAAGATTGGGACATGAGGTGATGACACGATTATTAAGAAAAATGAGTTTATGTGGTTGACGTTGAATTGCTGAAATAAAAATTAAGAAAGAATGATTTAATACCATACAAACTTTAGCTAATTTTGTACTTCGTATGAGAAAGTGTTAGAGGGACGGATCGAAAGGAAAAGATAAGAGAATCTCAGTGGGACGGAAGGAGTATCTATAAAAAAACACTCAGTGTAGAAATGACGCAATTTACATCTTTTGAGTAAACATTTGAATAATTATTATAATATAGAAATAATAGTTCAACAAGGGTTGTAAAATAACAAGTATATTTCAAAATAATTTTGGTACTAAACCATCAATATTGAAGACAAAAAAAGGAAAAAAAAAATAGATGTTTATAATTTGTGTTACTCACTTAACATGCAACCCGTGTGAATTGACCCACGAAACCAGTCACTTCATTGGATAAAAAACGACAACTCTTACCCACTTTGAAATGGGATGCAATAGACCAAGCTAGCCTGGAGACTTTGACTCCTTTCGACAGCTCTATCCACAGTTGAGTGAATTTTCTTTTAAACCATGATTGATGAATTCACATACAATTCATTTCACTTACAATTTTTATAAAAACTTTAAGTGCATATTTTGCCGTGCAGTGCACGGGTACATATACTAGTTTTAATATAAAATGAATGTTTTCACAAAGGCGGTGGAATGTCATTGTCTCGTTGACCGTAGATGTGAGACGTCACTTAAAGTCTCTTGTACCTACAACACGAGGAAAAAGGCAATTCAAATTAATTTTACTTTATGTTACTCAAATCTCAACTACAACTTTTACTTTTCAAGCACTTTATTAATAATAATAAGACCGCTGAGGCGTAAGTCCGCTTCGACAGAGAGCTTCTAGGACAGAGCCGCCGCTAGGTAATTTCCGATTTCGATCTTTCTTGATCGAAGTTCGGTCAGTGTTTCCCTAGCGAGATCTCTCGCGTAGGGTTTTTACTTCGCCGCCCTGGTGCGGCGTTTTCTTTCAATCGATGCAGCTCTGCGCCAGATTGCCGAGGTTTGGACGTAGCTCGGGATGGATAATCGTGGCAGCGAGAAGATGGTGGAAGAAGCGAGAGAGAGAGATAGAGATAGAGAGAGAGAGAGAGAGAGAGAGAGAGAGAGAGAGACATAGGGATGATCGGGACATGGTTAGCGTGGAGAGGCTGAACTCTCCATTCGATGGCATGGATTTGGGTCATACGACGGGTACGCCACTGAAAGAGTGTATCAATCGAGCGACGGTCCGACCTCCGCCTGAACCACCACCATGAGTTGTACGAGGTGCTAAAGTCCGTGAAAGTTTTCCTAGTAATTTTTATCTGTTTGTCATTTGTTTTCTTGTGTTCATTTTTGTTGTTGGTTTTGACAATTTGTTTGAATTTTTAGCCTCTCTTTATGTCATTGGGTATGGTTGGATCTATGAAAACAGGTTTAGGCTCTCTTTCAGGGGTGACCGTCTCAAAGTCTCACCATAGGGTTACAGTCGTAGTTGTTGGAGTTTCAGTTGGTGTCAGTTTTATTTTCTCTTTGCTTGATGTAATGATCATTTGATATGAATAGGGGTCTGTTTTGATGGCCAAATTAAAACAAGACAACCAATATGAGACGGAGGTAGTAATATTTAGTTGTATTTAAGGAATATAAAACTTGAACTCTTATTTAGGAATATGTCAATTTTAATGCTATTTGTGCGATTTTTTCGAAAAAAAAATCATTCATAAATTTCACATAAAAAATTTTCATGCAAATAAAAGTTTTTGCTATAAAAAATTGTGGGACCCACTAAAATGAAACATTGTCCTTTCTGTGTGGAGTAGATGGAGTACAAAATTGAGTAGTTTGAAACATTTTGACATTCATCAAATATATAATTGGGCGTATAAATGTTTACAAAAATAGTGTTAATCGTTTTTATTTTTCTATAAACTTTAGCTATGTATGTCCAACAATAATACTTAAATCCATAAAGTTTGATGTTAACTCAATACATATTTTTTTAGAGTTCAATACATATTTCATTATCAAGTACAATTGAATTTTGTATTTTTGACCTCATCACATTTTATATATTAATCATTAAAGTGTAATACACTTAAAAATAATTAGGATTCTAAACTTAATCTAGCCGTTTCTCCTTAATCAAATCACTTATTTCTTTCAAGATTCAATCACGTGACTTCTTTCTCTGAAAATAAACTTCCTCTGAAATTTGACACTTAACAACTATATTTCATGCTCACTAATTCTGAAAAATATGGAACTAACCATAGTCTATGAACATATATGTTTACAATACAGCACATGAGATTAGCATTTGGAGTCAGGTTACATAACTAACTTTATACTGTACTCACATTCAAAACAAGCACATAATGAAACGTACACTTAATGCTAAGAAGAACATCATTAATTTGCACGATGGCTTCTTATAATCCCTACAAAGATGACGAAAATCTGAATCAGGTCATGGGAGCAGTATGACCTAAACCTGTCTAACTGCATTTAAGGTAACTATGTCTGATTATATACTCTGTATGATACATGCTTCTGCCCAACACTTTTTTACACCGGCCCGGTTAACGTCCTCCTCAAGCATATTAACTTTCCATCCCGTGGCACTCTCGGTTTCTCCTCCTATAAAATAAATTTGCAAGATGCATGATAATTTCGAAAAAATAGAAGGTTGATTTGACATTGGGAGGAAAAAAATTAAGTCACTATCATCATCATTACCCCAGTGCCGCAAAGGCTCCCACACCTTCGGTGGGGTGGGGGGGGTCAGATGTAAGCAATCTTATCTCTGAGAAAGAACAGAGAGACTGTTTCCGGATGACCCATAGTGAAAATCGCACCGAAAATTGCATGGACTGACTGATGCTTCATAACAAAGAAGCGTAGACAGTTTAATAAGTCATTTTGCTTTATTCCATCACATTTCCAAGTCAAAAAATAGTGAGTCCTTGGCTCCATTGCAAATGATGGAAAAGGAGGGGGGAAATTAAGTATGATAGTATATTTCATCTTCAAGAGTGTTGTTAAAATTAAACCCTAATGTAGCTTCCCTTTGCATAAGATTTTATCCCAAATAGCACTTTCACTCTGGACTACTATATACTTGCATAGAATATAGAGTCACATCGAACTAGTAAAGAAAAATGATGAGTTAATAAGATCCTGGGATGAACCAGTGAACAGAAGACTGGATTCAATCTTTTAATATGGTTTAGCCCAAGTGGCTGATACCTAGTTGAGCAACTCCAACTCAATCCTGTAACTCTATCATAATTCATAATCTAACAAGTATAAAACATAAAACAAAATACAGATTATAGTATACTTGTATATTGCTATGTTGCTCAATTGGACTATATGGCCTAAAAAGCACAGCTGTAAGTGTAACTAAAAATGCATTTTACTTTATTTATTTATCTATCAGACTAGTCTTCCTAAATCAATTAGGTTTATTTGCATATCCTTATAAATAGGGTGAATAGAATGCTTCATATCCCTAATTCTCACACGCGTTAAACTGCTAATTATAAATTTTGGCATTCAGAAAGCCATTCTACATTGCATGATAAGAATACTAGACAACATAACACAAGACAAGAGAGACTTTTACCAGTTCCTTTTGCATCTCCAGAAGTTCAGACTGCAACAACACAATCACATAAAAGCACAGTGAGAATAATAGTTTTCTGTGAATAAATATGGCAACAGAACATAAACAATTCGTCCAAAGAGGTGAAGTAACCTGTCTTTTCCTCAGTTGTGCATTGATTTCCTTCTGTCTTGCTACTTCCGCTTCCAATTCTATAGTATATGCCTGTCATTTTCATGATATTAAAAAGGAAAGAAAAAGTAGTGTTATTCATTACGAACTTCATGGTGACACCAATTTATTATTTTCTTCTTCTCCACAGCACGTAAAATAAAAAAAGAACAAGGTATGGTTTCAATTAATCCAAGGACATGTCCACTTGAATATCATATTCAGTAGTTCATGTTATGACTCTGTTGAGTATCACTCTATTGTCGATCGCTACGCACCCATAAACATTTTAACAAATAGTAGTACAAATGAACAATACTCTCTCTAGTATCAAGAAATGGTTTTAACCAAGGGATACTCTTACGGGATGTTTGGATCACAGGAATGCTTGGTAAAGAAAATAGGAAAGTTCATTTCTTTTATTTGGTTTTACCTTGAAAAATGCAAAGGAAAATGAAATATGCAATTCTATTTTTTTAATATTTAGATCCCTTAGTCTTTACATAATATAAACAAAATATAAAAACAAGTTTGAACAAAATCGTCATCATCATTATTATTTATTAGCACTTCAAGCCAACTAGTTGAGGTTAGTGGCAATGAATTCTTAGTGCTAACCGATCGCAGAAAGTCACTTGGCGGTATAAATTTATGCAAACAAAGCTAAGTTTGAACAAATATCTAAAATAAATTTGTTGAGTTTTAGTTTACCCATTCTTTCCCCAAAATTTTCTTTTCTCTTTCTCTTTCATTCCCATTTTCATTTGTTTCTTCCCAAAGTAACTTCCAAGTTCCAAACTCATCCCTAATATCTATTCCAATGCAGTGAATCGACTTCAACACCCAATGTCAATGCATAGTTGTACTACATTATTTTTAACTTCTCAATTCATTCTTACGCTTATGTTATTCTACTGAAATGAGCATAAGGTGAATTTTACTAAGATTTGAACAAAAGCATATATGTTATTTATAGTTTAATATAATCATTTAGAAGGAAAAAAAGTTACTTCGTAGTTAACAACAGAATGCTATAAGACAGAAGCTAGAAACCATATAATAAATGACCTGCTTCCTGGCTCGAGATCTTGCAGCAGATTCCCGGTTTTTAATCATCCTCCTCCGCCTCCTTTCGACTACTTTCTCTAAAGAGCCGCCACACCCTCTCCTCCCACTTCCACCACTTCCACCTTCATTAAATGTATACGGCGAATGGGATAGTGAAGGTCTATCCATGTTACTATTAGGAATAATAGGAGGAGGAGATATTCCAACAACTGGGGAGACAAAAGGTGCAGTAGATTGGTTAGCATACAAAGGTGGCTGAAGAAGCTGCTGTTCTTGCTTTGCAGAATCGGCACCTCCTGAATTTACCATTCTGTCCTCTCTTACAACCCCGGCTCGCACTAAAAAGTCCTCAAGTGTTATTTCTCCATAGCTTTTTGAGACTGTCTCTTTCTGGAAGTCTTTCCACACGTCATCGACAGTTTTCTGGCTAAGCGTCCTAGGAATGGCTAAAAAGCTATTTGGAGCAGGAGATGCGAGGGGTTGATTAGATTCCTCCTCAGCTGTCCATATGTTCTTCATTAGGTCCTCCATGTTCATTGACCCGAAGTCCTTCCCAAATCCACCATTTGTGCTCTGGAGCTCATCAAAGGTCAGTGAGTATATCGAAGTTTCTCTGCTCAGTGGAGCCTCCCCAGAGTTCTTGAAGTTCAAGTAAGAACCCATTCTTGACCAAGTTTGAAACTGATCATATAAAAAATCAGTATAAATACCCCGGGATTGCAGTCCATTTCGTGGTTATCAAGCTAGCAGATCAAGCTGAGCAAGAACTATTTTGTCCTCTTTCTTTTAATATTGAAATGAATCCTTTTTAGACTCAAAGGTTTAGAATGTGTAAGGTGTTTTGTACCATAAAATGAAAGAACATTATTCATTCAGTTTACAGCTTCCTGCAAAGTTCACCTTATTACAGACACAACCTTTTGCAATTATATGAAAAACAGATCCAGGTTGTTACATAGAATCATTTGGAGGCATGGCCTTTGAATTTGATGATAGACTTTTTACCACTTTTATTCCTCTATTGCGAGGATGAAGCCTTCATCTTTTTCACTTCTAATCTTTCAAGTATTTTTTGCAGCATACACATTTTTCTTATCTTTCTTTTAGTTTTTTTCATTTCTAGCTAAATTATTGTGCAAATAATATTTTTGGTAACTTGTATTTGCATTTTGCCACAGCCCACATGAGTTGGACTACCAAATGGTACATTAAAACAACAGTTATATGACTATAAAAGTGTGACCGTTAGAGTTGTCTACACAATTAAAATGTCACTGTCGCAATAATATAATGACCTTGAGATTTTCGACATTACAATAGTGAAAGGATTAAAGCCTAACAGAGTAAATTCAAAGAAATACTCCGTATATCGACAGTGTGCCCCAAGGAATCAAAGGTGGAAATATTTAAAAGAAACGTACCAAAAGTGCCATTGTTACATAAATGAAAAACAGATAGCAACCTAAAGATTTAAGAGAAGTTCACCTAAACTAAAACATATTGTGTTTTTATAAATGTGACCGTGAAAGAATTATTGTATCAAAGAATATGCTTTAGGAATATACTCAGACATATTCCATCTTTGTAACCTATAAATATAAGGTTTTAACCCTCTAATGAAATACACAGAAAATCTTTTCCTCTATCTCCAATATGATTCTAGTTTATACGTAGTATTTCAGTGGCCAACCCATGATTTTTATTTTTTATGAAATAACATATGTAACGATCTTTTATATTCGAATAGGAATAAAATAGAAGTCCTATTTAAAGAAAGTGGTTATACACTTATACTTAAAGTCTTATTTTAAACAATTACTCATGTATTTAACCTATAAGTTAATTAATCAACCTATAGAGCTTACTATAGTCAGAATACTGTGTGGAAAAACTATAGACACTTGAGTATTTAACCCACAAGTTAATTAAGCAACCTATAGAAGATGAGAAGATCTATCTTTGACTAGAGACCTAGAAATCCTAGAATCTCTTCATTTCAAGAAGCTGGCTAGCTTCAAAGATCATATTTTGGCTTGCTTTACTTCACTATTTCAATCCACTTAGCTATATATTAGGATCCCAAAGAGATCAGATTAAAATTTTAAAAATAAAAGTTTCTGAACTTCAATACCAAGCAAGCATATTCATTCTTGAAGTATCAGTCAATCATCTAAGCTCAAATAGCCATTAAATGCAACAGAACTAAGTTTTTGTGCAAAAATTGGATTGAATAAACAATTCCCATCAAAGAAAGGGGGAGGAAAACGAGATCGGTTTATATTCCTTAATCGGATTAACGAGATTATGTCCACTCTGGTAATTACAGATGTTCAAGTTCTGGGATTTTGTCTTGTAAAAATAAGAGATTAGTGAATATAATCCCCGATCGAGAAGGGGAGATCTCAGCCGTTGAAATTAAAGACTGAGAAGATGGAAAGAAAAAGAAATTATGGTTACCCTTTGTAATAGGAAAAAGGGAGACGGAGTTGGGGAAGCGTGTCGTTGGCTTCTTCTTCCTCGCCGGTGTAGAGCTTGCTGGAGGCGACAAGTGTCTGCTGTCCCTTCTTTCGACACGAAGTCGTCCCACATTTAAACCTCCGCGGAAAATATCTGATGTTTCTTTATTAAAAAAAATACTCGGCATTTTTTAATGTGGTTTTCCTATTTGCTTAATGTACCCACTCTTATACCCACCTTATACCCACCATGTTTGTGGAAGTTTTTTTTTGTCTGTGAACCCAGTTCATAGACAATATTTTGTTTGTGCAAAATATTGTCTGTGGGCCGGGTTTCACAGACAAAAATAAAACACTTCACAAACATAGTTGGGTATAAAAGTGTGTACACAGATCATTTTTGTTCCTATTTACTCAAATTATGGGCTGAAAATTTATAAAAAGGCCAAACCTAGTCCGGTCCGAACTCGTTTTTGTGCAGGTCTATGGTTGTTTTTACTTGAACTGTAATTTGCTTATCTGATCTTGTCTGTTTAAATCTGATCTGGTCTGTTTAAGTCTGGTGTGGTCTGAACTGGTCTGGTTTAGTCTGGTAAATATCTTGTCTCTTTGTATTTTATACTACGTAACTACGGAAGCATGGTCTAATTTATTTAAGTCTAGTCTGATCTGGTCTATCTAAGTCTGATCTGGTGTGGTCTGGTCTGTTTAAGTCTGGTCTGGAACTGAAAACGATGCAAGTAAAAACATTTTGGACTTTGCACTTCATTTGTCTAACGTGAACCATAACAAATTAAAGAGGTATGTTGTGTGAACTGATTACATCAGTCCATGTAACATTACAAGTGAATTTCTATAATTGTGGCAAAGATCAGGTGATAATGAATTCTCTAAGGAACGATTTAGGTGTGAAAAGCAATCAGGGGGATCCAGTATTTCACGTTAGGGTGGACTGAAAAACTTAATTGATAATACATTGAATTTTTTTCAAAATAAGCAAAAACTCAAATATAAAAGTTATCTCCTAAATTTGTTCTCGCCAAGGCTTTAAATAAAACTAAAAAACTCGTCAACAATAGCGTCTACATCTATATTGAGGGTAATTTCTTTTCAATATAAACTCGTCAACAATAGAGTTTACATCTATACTGAGAGTAAGAAAGTCATCATCAATTTTATTGCGGAGTGTTGTCTTTTGAAGTTTCACGGCAGAAAATGATATTCTACAGTTGCAGTAGAAACAATAAGATCAATACAAAGCGAATCAATCTACTCATATTGGATCTCTTGCTCTTAGCTCTAGTCAACTCCTCACATAATTCAAAAAATGTAGATACTTGAAACTTTGTATCATGAATCACATAATGAACATAGTGTTGTAGCTCGAATTTTAAAGCACAAATGTCCTGACTACTAAAAACTTCGGGATAGAACTTCCTTGCAAGAGTACAAATAACATCGGCACTGGACAACTCATATGAATTTTTTGATCCAATGAAGCTCTCAAAGAAAGGAGTTCCATTGATTTATCATTAAATGGGTTCGTAACTCCATCAAAAAAATGTGTATTACCTCTTGAAAACATCAATGTGATAATGATGATCAAGTATAGTTTATTTTCAGCAACGACCAACCATATATTTAGAAATTAGAATTCAAGTCCGGTGCATGAATTTATTTTTTTGAGCAAAACTCATTTACTTCTTCAAGAAAACATTCCCGTCCATTTTCGGTCAATTCTTTAAGAATGAGTTGTGAAGTAGAAAGATGTCTCATGGCTACCAAGATATCCAAAAAAAAATTGAAGGCCTTGAAAGAGAATAGGCGATATTTCCATAACTTTGTGCATCAAAAGTAAATTGAACACAAATTCAAAACATGGAAAGCGTCTATATACACTACGAACTTCTGCCCACGAACTCACTTTTGGGCAATTAATGTTCGTGAAGATCCTCAAACACCTTACAAGTTGATGTGAACATGATAATCAAGCTCTTATTATATACTAAGTGCAATTTAGGATGTTTTTACTTGGACTGTAATTTGCTGGTCTGGTATGAACTGGTATGGTCTGGTCTGGTAAGGTCTGGTTTCTTTGTATTTTTATAACTATCCAAGTCTGGTCTGGTTTGGTCTGGTCTGGTCTGAACTGGTATGGACTGGTCTGGGACAAATTACAGTCCAAGTAAAAACATCCTTATTAAGTTGGAGGTGATGTGTATAGCATTTAGATTATTTTTTTAGATGATAAGATTTTGATCTATGGGTTGGGCTGAAAATTTTGATTGGGCTATAGAAAAATTTTGGGTAGGCTGGATGAAATTTTGTCAAAATAATATCTTAATAATAATTTTTTTTACGTTGTTCTGGACTTCAGCTCACCATAATACTAACATATTGCATGTTACATCAAAGTTACAGCAAAAGTTATCTTACAACAAACTCTAATACAAAATAATGCTCGACAATTGCACCATGCATCACATTCTACCACATGATTTTGGTGATAGACTAACTTATATGCATAAATTTAATCCACATAACATTTATTACTATTATAAATACTTTCTTAAAAATATGTAACGGTTCGGATTCCACATAATATATACTCCCTCCGTCCCCTTTTAAATGTCCCGTTTTACTATATTGGGATGTCCCTATTTAATTGTCTCATACCTTATTTGGTAAAGTTTGTGTGGCTCAAAATCATTCTTACTTTACTCTTACTTTATTCTTACTTTGTCAATTAATATCAACCACACAAACCCACTTTTCTTAAAACTCATGTCACCCTCTTCCGGGACATTTAAAAGGGGACGGAGGGAGTACTTGGTAATTGGTATTGGATATCTTTCTCTACATATATTTTGTTCTCACTTCACCATAAATACCAATGACTATGTTCCGACCATAAATACCAATGACTATGTTCCGGTGGTGAGCTATCATATACGTGTATATTACATGTTTATTTAATACAAGACTACTTCTAGAATCGTATAGTGTATTTAATGTTCATAAAATTAAATTGTATATTTTGAAAATCAAATCAAATCTACAAATCATGTTTTTGCATATTTTAGAAATTAATGTAAAAAGACAATAAAAATAGAACTACCGCAACTTCTCGAAGAACAGAACTACCACAAAGTATGAAAATATCGTCATGTTTAAAGTCTAATAAAACCAAAATATAACAATAATTGTGTAATTCACAAAATAAAAAAATGATAGTCATATTTTGAAATTCACAATCATTTTTACTTCGATTTATAGCATAATACTCTATGTTGTTGTATGTCATAAAGCATTCAAAGATACTCCATTATATTGTTCTAAATTTATTTTATTTTTTAAGTATGTGAATAATGTGATCAATCTAAAAACTTTCTACTTTATAATTACATAAATCATTTTTACTATATACAAATTCAGCTTTAATTTCTGTGTAAATAAAACTTTAAGTATGATTTTGAAATGCGCAAAATTATTAATGTTAATATCACTTCTAAAGTTATTAATGTAAATTTACTTTAATTTAATCAAACCTAGTAATGGTCGAGCAAAAATGGGATATTCTAAGGGTCTGTTTGCAACAGCTTCTGCTTTTAAAAAAATGCTTTTTTTAATGAAATGGGGAGAAGTGATTAAATAAAAGTTGATATTGTTTGAGAAAATAATGATTTTGAAAAGTAAAAGTGGGTAGTGTTTGGTAAAATAAGTGCTTTTTGTGTAATAGAAAAAGTAAAAACACTTTTGTCGCGGAAGCCGAGAAAAATAAAAGTTGTAGTGTTTAGGAAAATAAGTGTTTTTTAAAGCCAAAAGCTGAGAAGTGATTTTTTAAAAGTAGTTGCAAACCAACCCTAACTAGGCATCAACCCAATGAGAGCAATTTTGTTCACCCCTTCTTTCGTCTATGAACATTACCCCATTAGTTCACTTGTTGCCACTTGGCATTCCATTTCCTTTTTATTCAAATTATAATAATTTTTTTATTTATTGTCTAATTTAAAAAAAAATAGATTTAATAAATTTTTAACATCTTTCTAATGACATCAGTATTGTATAATAAAAATTGAAAAGAAAAAAAAACCGTCTTTTCTAAATTTCATTTTTAGTTGGATTTTTAATTTTTATTTTTTTTATATAATATTGGTACACCCTCCATCCTAATTTCTTATATGTAATATTAAAAAGTTTGATACGAAGTATATTTTTTCAAAAATTTATATTAGAAAAGAAAAAATTAAAATAATTGTCATATACTCCGTGATAAAGAATTGCTTTGCCACATGGCAAGCAATTAAGATGAGGAGTGAACATCGCCCTCTTGTGTTTGGAAAGAGTGAACAAATTTGATTTCAACATTAATATCTTTTTGTACTTTTTTTTTTATCATAATATCTTTTTGTACTTTTTTTTTGAGAGGAATAACATTAATTATCATTAATCATATCAAAAGACATGGCGTTCACAATACAAGACGGAGGAGAAAACAACCAAATATGCCGATCAGGCAAAGAACAAGCATGCCGAGCTAACGCGTGAGCAACCCCTTGTTCGCTGATCGCTTAACAAAAGAGAAAGAAATATTCGTAAACTCGGAGCTAAGTTTTCTAATGTCCTCTGCCACCAGCCCTCCCGAAGAGAGACTAGAACCATTCTGAATCTCAGTTATCGCCAATAGACATTAACATATTTGTGTATTATCATCACTATACACATTCTTATTTATTTGTCACAATGGCTGATCAATGGAAAGAATTAGGTAGATGCGTGCTCTCCAACTACTCTCTAATGTATTTGCAACCGTCAATTACTTGTGTAGACCTTTTGAGTTCTTGTCACATTATTGTGGATAGTGACAGTTCAAAATTCTACTAGCATATACTCCTTATTAAATTGATTTTAAAAAAGATGCATCTACAGATAGTGATATTTAAAAAGAGCATTTCAAGATTTAAAAAAAAGCTTCCAAACATTTTGAAGTGTGGACTATTCAAGTCATCAACTGTATGATTTTCTTAAGAGTGGAGTGTTAAATTGTGAAAACTTCATGAGAAAAGAATGATACTCCATCCCTGATTGCCCTTAGCTTAGCATCGGTCGAACAGTTAATTGAGAGGATATATAATGAAATATAATCATAGACTGATAGGTAATGAGTGAGACATT